CGGCAGGCATCCTCAAGTGCCCCGGGTTAGGTCTCTGGGGGTCCAGGGGAGGCAGCAAATTCAGAGGCATCACTTTCTGTTTTGCCTCCCTGGCAGTTTGGGAAGCATTTTTGGATGGCCAGAGAAGTAACGTTCTCTTGGAGCTTTGTCTGCTGACAGCCCCTCCGTGCTGATGTCTGGCCAGCCTGGGCTGTGGCCACTTTGCCACCTACTAAGTTGCCCGGGGCTCCCTGTTGAGAGCCCTGGGCAGACTCTTGAGAGCAGCCTGTGCTAAAGTACACCCCCCCACCACCACCACAGCAGGACAGCAGAGCGTTTCCCTGGAGCCTCTCACCCTTACACCATTGCAAACCTGTGGTTTACCTGCCTCAAAGCCCATCATTTAAGAGCCATTTCCAAGTGGGAAAACAAACAGCCTGAAGCAGCGAGCAGCACACGGCATCTGGCAATCATAGCCCAGAGCCAAGATCAGCCCAGGTCATGGGGTACAAGATAAGAATCACAGACACCAGTCTCCTACCTGGAAATATCATTACCTTTGCAGCACTGCTTTGCATTTAGTGTGTCTAAACAAAGAGTGCTTTGATGGGTGGCAACGCTCCACTGATGTGAACCTGCTGGCCACCACCACCAGCACAAAGGCTGTGTGTTGGTATTCTGGGCTGGCTGCTGATTTAAGACCTAGATGTTGCTGCTTGCTATATCTGGAACTGAGCAGAGCCGGCGCTTGGCGTGACTGCGCCTTGTGCTATGTGCCCACACCCACTGCCATTAGCAGTGAAAGCAAAGCTTCCACAGCCCTCACAAGTCACTCTGTCAATGTGGATGGATCAGCTCCTTGCTTAGGAAACTGCTACCTTTTATGTCCCAAAGGTCCCATCTGCAGCCTCCCATGGAGAGCTGTGCCTGTTCCTCCAGCAGCCACAGGACCATATCAATGGATGATAGTTTGCAGTCTTACAGCATTACTGTGAGCTGCCTTCTGTAGGCTGCAGTAGCCTTAGATGGAAAGCGGGATTCTTGGGTTTGTTACCTCATGTGGTTTAGGTTGAGAGTGGAAACTGAAGTTGTGCCTTCACAGATCACTGTACAAGGAACCACCCGTTTCTTCTACATGCAGGGACCCTTGCTATCACCTGGAGGCCACAAGGTCTGAACTAGCAAGCTTTTTCCTTGTCGTTGCAGCTCCCTGGCAATTGGAACCACAACTGGATACAGGCTTTTCTCCTTAAGTTCTGTGGAGCAACTGGACCAGGTCCACAAAAGCAGTAAGTCTCCTGTTTTGCTGCAGTGGAATATTGGCTGACAGACTCTGCCTGTATTACTGCACTTCAGTCTGCCTTGAGGGGGTGATTCTGCTCACTGCCGTTGCACGCACAGCATCCATTTCTGTTGTACCCATATTAGGAGAAGAACGGTCCTTGTTATTGCACTGTAAACAGCAGGCTTTAAAGTGGGCTACAGCCTTGGAGAAGCTTCTGAACAGTGAGCAGTACTTTAACAAAGTTGAAGGAGCCCCACAAGTTGAGAGTCCAGCTTCTTTTTCCACTGCTGTCAGTCTGACAGCAGCAGTTTGTCCTGCAAACCAGCATTCACAGGTAGTTTACCACCAGCACGTTTCAGATACCTGGTCAGGAGACTGCAGAATCCCAGCACAGATGGTGGATAACTCACAGGCTTTTAGTCCAATGTGCTATTTACTAGCAAGATTTTTTTTTTAGCAGGTTTCCCATGTAAGAAGGTCATTCACAGCAGGCTGTCAGGTGTGCTCAGAGCAGCATGCAATGCTCTTAACAGCCCAAAACAAGTTCAGGCCTCATAGAACATGTACTCTAGTCTGGTTCAGGCCATGGTCAGAGGTACTTTAGCTGAGATGTATCAAAGATATGCCTCAGCTGGGAGATGCTAATCTCTCTCCACTGGCTACAGAGGGAGCCTCAGCAACCAGACATAGCTGCATCATCTGGAACAAAGTCCAGACTCCTTTCCTCTTTGCCCCACAGGGTAACTCAGGTGCTATCCAGCAGCAAGCCATAGACTTATTTTAAAATTATTAGAAGTTGGGCAGGGGGGGAATCCAAAGTCAAGACCAAAAGCCAGAGAGAAACACATCCCTGCTGGCGACACACTCAAAAGTAACAGGCTAAGACACAAGCAGTCCCCATACCCCCAACACAGGACAACCTGAGCACCAAGGACCATTCAGGACACCAAGAGTCCTAGTCCCTGATGATTTAGGTGCAGGTCCACCAGAACCATTGTAATGGTACCCTCTCAACATGGTTTCTGCAAGACATACCACACCACTGTTCACAGCCATGCTAGAGCTCTCTAGGCACCACAACCCCAGTAACAGGGAGAGCTTTAACACATCAGCCTTCCCTAAGGAGGCTGGGAGAAATCAGACACCATGCAGAATAAACAGCAAGTTACACACAACTTGTTTCTTACCTCAGTAAGCTCTAGCTTGCTCACCCCCTCCAGAAAAGCCCCTAACCAAGCTGCCTGAGCTCCTCCTTTTTATATCCCCTTCCCAAGGATTAGCTTCAGCTGGAGGGCCCTGCCCAGGAGAGGCACAACAGCACTGCCAAAGGGGGCTGGCTTAAATCCTGCCTTCAGGGGAAGGTTCATTAATCCCTTCCTGCTCTGACCTAAATGCTTTGTGCCAGGTATGAGAAATTTTTAACAAAAGCACATGTTGGAACACCTTAGCACCGAGTCTTCCAACCCAATTACCTCCTGAGTTGAGTCTCACTGATCGCTGCAAACAAGCCAACTATAAGCCAAGCTAAAGACTCTGTCTTGCTTTCCTTCTGTGCCCAGATGAAATCCCAGATGTTTACATCGTGGAACGTCTGTTCTCCAGCAGCCTTGTGGTTGTGGTCAGTCATACCAAGCCACAGCAAATGAATGTCTACCACTTCAAGAAAGGGACTGAGATCTGCAACTATAGCTATTCCAGTAACATACTGTCCATCCGGCTGAATCGTCAGGTAAGAGGCTGGGGGAAGGGGTTAGCCAGAGTTGTCCCACTCTGGCTCTTTGCTGGTGTTGACTTTCCAGCTGGGACCCTGCTGGCAGCCTGGGTAGGTTTGCACAGAGACTGTGAGGTGGGACCGGGGGGGAGGTAGGTACGTGTCCTCTTCTGTCAACTCCACTTCAGGCTTGGTAACATCCAAGAGAGGAGCAGGATGGCTGTGGCCATCATCTGCCACAACTGTGCTTCAGTAAGATGAAGCTAACTCCTTGTTTTCGTAGTAGTTACACAAAGACTTTCTGTTGTCTGCTGTCTGACATCTTGCCTATTCAGCACGCAGCTCTGCCAGAAAAACACCTTTTCATTTTCCTCCCTCCCTTGGGTTCCACATCCTGAGTTCAGGCCCGCCTCTGCCATCTTGGTTGCAAATGAGACCTTCAAAGCTGGTAACAAAACCCAGGAGTACCTTGAACTCCGTGGATGAGGCGAAAGGCTGCTTCTCAAGTACTGCTAGCAGCCTTGTTTTATTTTTAAAGGTATAGAAAACATTTCAGGCCACTTAGAATAAGGCTTTTAGAGTGTTATTCTCTGAACTGACACAGCCTCATGCAGCCCTGAACCCTTCTGGAGGATTTTAAGTCACCTTTTCATTTTGCCCATAATTATTTTCAAAGTATATGCCATAAGAAGCAGAGGACATTTTACAATGAAGAAATAAGCAGTCTGTGTAATTGTATATAATCAACCTCTCCTCAGTTAGCAACACTGAGTCCTGCAGTAAGGCTCTCCCATAAGGAAACTCTGGGTTGAGTTTCCAGTAAAGCTGTGTTTGACCAGAAGTTCCTGTACTACAATTAAATCTGTCCTAAATTGATTTTTTTCACTTACAACGGAGCTGGCAAAATAAGGACTTCCTTTGAATTGCAGATAGATGTATATGTATAAAAATAAACTGGGAGGTTCTGCTTAGCAGCTCTAGGGGATCAGTGTGAGAATAAAATAAGTTTGGGCTTTTTCCCACCCACCGCTCTGGAGATTGCCTGAAGATGACGCATAGGCCCAGCTTTGCAGCCGTGTTCCTTGGCTGCCTTATGAGCTTGGGTTCAAATCCTGGGCTGAGCTCATCCTCCAGCCATAACACAGACAAACCTGGAGAGGTTTGAAGATGCTGCAGATACTTGGGTGGATAGAAGAGAAATCACTGTTTCAATCTGCATTCAAGATTTAAGCTGGCAGCAGTCGGGCTCTGCACATCCTGTGACGTTTGAGCCTTTTGCCTGGGCTTCTGTATGAAAACTGTACTTTGTTAAAAGTCCCCAGAAAGCCATATCCCATGCAAGGCATTAACAGAAGAAAATGGTGGCAAATAAAACAGGAACAGGTCTCAAACAAGTGGTGCATGTTTCTATTTGGTCTCTCTCTGGAAAAGTCCTTGGTTGCTGTTGATCCATGGGAATCCTTTGGTCCAAGCTCCGTTATGACTATCAAGTGTGTTAAGGTAGATCGCGATGTGGCTCAAAGTGGGGAATAAGGCTGTGCTGTGGGGCTGGAGAGAAGCTCTCCCGCCGCCTCTCTGGGTTTTCATTCACTGCTGAAACCCTGCTGAGCTCTTGGGAGAGGTTTGATTCTTTTTCCTGGCTGTGTCCATACCCAGCACCTTTAAGTCCTCAACACACAACTCAGTTCCCCAACCCAATTTCTGTCAAACTGAAGTACTAAAGAAAAATACTGGTACACAGTAACATTCCGTACAAGACGCGGTGCCCTGTACCCTGTGTAGCCGTCACAACACCAGGCACCTTCTCTGCGGCTCCGCCTGTGTCCACAGTGAGGATAAAACCCATTCCTCATCTCAGTAGGGTTTGCACTGATGTTAGCATGGGCTACAGGGCTGCATGGAGGGCAGGAGGCAGAGAACCAGCCCTCCCCGACTCGTGGTGAGCTTCTCCAGGCCTCCTCCGCTTGTTCACCTCCCACCCCTGTCACTTTCCTGGATTTTGTCCCCTCTTGGTGCCAGCATCTCTTGCTGCAGCTCTGGCTGTTGCTTTGCTGTCATCTGGAAACCTCCCTTCACCTGTACATCAATAGCAGCGCGCTTTGCAGTTCTGGGAAAGCATATGGTGGCTTTGCCCAAATCAGCTGTATAAATATTACTCTGACGGTCTCCGCTAGCAAGTTGATGGCTGTTACTGGAGAAAAGGCAAAGTCTTCCTGGAAATGCAAAATGGCTCTGACACAGCCCCAGATGCTGTGGTTAGCAGGAATAGAAGTGGGA